AGAGAGACACAGACAGAGAGAGAGAGAGAGACAGAGACAGAGAGAGACACAGACAGAGGGGGACACAGACAGAGAGAGAGAGAGACAGAGACAGAGAGAGAGAGACACAGACAGAGGGGGACACAGACAGAGAGAGAGAGAGAGAGAGACAGAGAGAGAGAGACACAGACAGAGGGGGACACAGACAGAGACAGAGACACAGAGAGAGAGAGAGAGGAAGTGAGTGCAGCAGCTGAGGACATAAAATGCATTACTACTAAGAGTGTGTTTGTCTTTGTGATTGTGCTCCTACACACACAGATCTCACAAACCTGTGTGTTCATGTGTGTGTGTGTGTGTGTTATACATACTAGGTGGGTACAGGAAAGCGTGGGTTAGATTCCCAGCTGCTTCATACTGGTCACATCTCGGACTGTGGGACACAGGAAGTCTGACATCGGCCCTCAGACAGTTCCTTGTCACCGGTGGCAGCGGATCTGAGTCCATCTGAATCAATGTTTGTTTTTACGTCAGTGGATCATCCGAGTTTTAGACCAAACACAAAAGTCAGACGTGCGTACAGTCACTGGGCGGGTGAACCACTCTGAGGCCACGGAGAATTGACCGATTTTGTGACTCATACCACCCAGATATTTAAATGTGTTACCATTTAATAAACCATTTAAAAATCACATCGATATTTTGAATTCAATTTCCCTTAATTGGCCAAATTCTTGCAGATGTGACTTATTTCAGAAAAACTTCAGTGATGCCTCAGAAATGATTTAAAGTCCTTCAGTTTTAGACTGTTGAACATTTCCTGTATTCAAACCGAACATTGTGGACGTGACTCTCACGGGTTTGTCGATGGTGAAGGAGCTCCACAGAGGCATCAGGGCGTCGGAGCTGTAGGCGCTGATGAATCCCTCCTGGTGGAGGAGGCAGTAGCTCCGACCGGGCTGCAGCATCCGAGGTCGACCGAACAACACGTGCTTCTTCTCTGCAGCCGACTCTGGAGGGAACAGAGACGTTCATTCAGAACTGATGAAGTGATTTTAAAATGTCCTTCATGCAAAGTGACAAAAAAAAAAAAAGCTGACGATAAAATAAAGAAATAAAAACTAAAAGCTCCTCACCTGCTTCTTCCGTCAGATTCAGACGACTGTTGATGGCGTTTCCGTTCTGAAGAGACACAACAGAACAACACAAGATGCTGGTGAAGTTGTTTTGTGTCCTAACGTTGGACAGCAGATAAGTGGAGAAGTGATCATTGTCTCCAGCGTCATCTCACCCACCAGAGCAGGACAGGCGCATCCCAGCTCGTCCGCGGGGTCCAGGCCGACCAGCGGACACTGAGCGGGCTGGCTCTGCTCTGCAGGGGGCGCTGGCGAGTAGTAGGGCTGCCTCAGGAGGTGGTTCATGCTGCCGTGGGTCCCGTTGTTGTCTGTGGGAGAAATCTGCAGAACGTCTGCAGAGAACGATGAGGTTTAGTTCTGTGGCCACAACAGATTATTGTGTCTCTGAAAACATGATTCAGTTACGGTTTGACTCAGAGAATAAACTCCGCTGACCCCGGTGGTTTACATTACAGCTGAATGCACCGCTGACTGTTTAGTTTCAGCTCTGAGGTCAAGTCCTGCAAGAAGTCCTCAGAGTCTGAAGCACAATCACTCAGGTTCAGGAGGGTTTACACTGTGGCTGAAATACTCATGTACTTCAGTACCCACAGTCTGTCTGTGACTCACAGCTCGAGAACGGTTCACGTCCGGTGCAGTCCGACTGAACTGACGGCTCTACCGGGTCTCGGTGGAGGTATGAACATCGACCGATTCTATAGTTTGTCAGAAACTCACCACACATGAGGTTGTACAGCTCGATGTTGGAGAAAGGTTCGATTTCTGTTTTATTCAGAAACTTTGGTCCGTAACTGACGAACATGGCCTGGAAGGAAAAGAAGAGGGACGACGTGTCAAACAGCTGCAGTAGCCATGGCGACCACATTTTTAGAATAACAGGTTAGAAACTCCTGGAAAAGGAGGCAGAGACGTGTTTCAGAGGTTTTATGGAGACTTTGCTGGGAGAACAGGAACCCTGCTCACATGCATGCTCTCAACATCGTTGTCGTAGCCGTGAGTTCCACCGGAGCAGAATTTGAGGGATCCAGGATATCTGAGGACGCACAGAGGTTTCAGAGATCAGACGTGAGGGAGTCATGCTCCATATATCAGCATGGCATCTTAGATCCAGCTCCAGGACGTGAGTAACAACAGTGTTCCAAATTTATTGTGCTGACAAAACTTTGTTTTTCTCTCATGGAGGTAAAAAAAACAATGATCTAATTAGAACATGACTCAATTATCATGCCAGTGGTTTCCACAGACGCTTCCTCTGGCTCATCGACCCACCAGCTCACCTTTTATGGAGCTAGTCTACATCTTTTAACTTTTTGCATAGCGACGTCTTTTGCTCGTAATCACTGAAAGTCAGAAACGTGTCTGCAATATGCACATGCACAGTAGGGGGCAGGCTTTGAGGACGAGCTCATAGACCACAGGTATAAAAAAAAAGTATCTGCCGACAGAAACACCTCTCAAACAGCCACTTTGCTTCCACCAGGACGTTGACGTCTTCGATGCGACGGCTGTTGGCGAAGTGGAGGCGCTTCGGGAGGTTGGCCTTCAGGTACGGTTTGATCTTCTGCTCCGGTTTCTTACACTGGAATCACACGAGTCACTTTATTTCAACGGGACACCGGTCGTTTGCTTCTAACATGAATGAAAGTTCTTTAATTTTAAATATTGCTATAAAACTAATTCCTGCTGTTCATCCATTTCATTTCAAGTATTTGAACACTGAACACTCACGGTCATGTTGGCAACAAGTCCGGCTGAGTCAACTGTTGAACGGAAAAGAGTGTGAAGTCACTGGTTCCAATTTAGCCTTTATCTCATTTTAACATTATTCATGACATTGAAAGTTCCCATGAATCGAACTAAATCAACAAACCATCTGTTTTCTGATTGGACCCTGACTTGTCACTAGATGGTTTGTGTGACCTCACCCCTGAATCATGTTTTCACAACCTCGTTATTTCCTTTTTAAAACAGATTTACATTTTTCTACATTTGGAGCCACATCACATGCACCTTTCGTTTAACAATTCCATCTGTGGATTCATCTGTGACCTTTTCAAGCTCAAACTCTTTCCATGATTCAAATCTGGATGGAGACAAATCTCAGGTTGTCTCTTGTGTCAAACAAAGAGACAAAAACTCCCAAACAAAGAAAAACTTCCACCAAAATCCTCTCTGACGTTAATCCTGACGGTGATAGAAAACAAACTGCGGTCGACCCAGATGCTTTGTTGGACCGGCATCATAAGAATGAAAAACTAATGGAATACTTTGATAACCACAATTACAGTCGTTAATCAGCTGATCAATCATGTTCTTTCTTGTTGCTGGAAACCACAACATGAAACTGAGCTTGTGATGAATGAGTCTTCCTGCAGCACCATTGTCTCTTGTGGTCGACGTTTCATGTGAATTGTTAAAGCAGCAGGTTTCCTCTGCACGTTCACTCACTGACTGCGTCTTTGTCTTTGGCCCTGATGCGTCCGAACGGCCCCTCATTGACCCAGTAGCCCTCGATGTCGCCCACCAGCGACTCCATCGTCTCCTTCCTGTCGCAGCTCGTGTCCTCCATACCTGCGACAGCGATCAGATGGACGTTATCTGTCTTCTGAACATGTCCCACATCATGACATCACGACACAGGTCTACCGACTGATTTCCCTCCAGGGAACGTTCATGATTTAAAGTTTGTATCACTACTTGATTTTATATTTATCGTATCTGTGTTTGCTCGGCATCGATTGCATGAAAGAAATCATGTGATTCGTGTCCTCTCAATCATTTATTGTTGTTAATTAATGCAGATAGTTGATGTGTGTTACCGTGATCGGCCACAACGATGATGTTGACGCAGCGGTGCAGGCCGATCTGCTTCAGGCCGTTCATCAGCTGACCCATGATCTTATCCACGCCCCTGATGGCGTCGATCACCTGGAGGCAGCGAGAGAAACGAACACGAACCATCAGACGTTAGTGAGATATTGGTTGTTTTTATCCCACACAGCTTTTTCATCAACCTCAGATATAAAATAGGACATGAAGAAAAAAGAAAAAGCATTATTCCAAACGAGAAACAAACCAAGAAACGGACAAACAACTAGCTCACTTACGAACAAACACGGGCGGATACGATCCGACTGAGCGCTGCGGCTCATTCCTGAAGATTTCACAACCATCACAGCAACAGTTTTAAGAAGAAATTACGTAATTAAGACCATTTAACCCCTGTGACTGAACACGAACTCCACCCAGAGACAATGACCCAAAGCAAAGGGCTCTAAACTAGACTCCATCACTCCCATGTGTCCAAGTAAACACTGACTCCTACACCGGTTACACCATCTGGGCTGGAGGTCGCAGGACGAGTCAGAGCGAGACACGTTAAAACACTGAAAATTAAAACACTGAATAATGGTGTCATAAATAAAAACACTGAATAATGGTGTCATAATTAAAAACACTGAATAATGGTGTCATAATTAAAAACACTGAATAATGGTGTCATAATTAAAAACACTGAATAATGGTGTTATAAATAAAAACACTGAATAATGGTGTCATAAATAAAACACTGAATAATGGTGTCATAAATAAAAACACTGAATAATGGTGTCATAAATAAAAACACTGAATAATGGTACTTTAAATAAAAACACTTGTGCTCCATCAACCATTTCAAAGTCGACTTGGTGTTTTCCTTTTCTCCGTCTCGCTCCTGCAGCTGTTTGTTATCATTTCAATCGGGCGTCACATCAACTTCAACAGTCACTAACGACCTCGGCCGTTGGCTGCAGGTGTTTTTATTACATCATCAACACGAACAACAGGTTTTACAGTTCGTCAGTGAAGTGGAACGTGTTCTCATCTGAGCCGTGACAGATCATACCTGTGACAGCGAGGTGTTGTGTTAAAAATAACTGAGACTCCTCCTCCTCCTCCTTTGTTCAGTTATCAAAGCCTCTAATCACAGAATTCCAGAGAGAGCGAGGAAAAGACTTTACACCACAATAGCTATTGGAACTATGACAGAGAAACATTTTACAAAGCAGAAGATAACGAGAACGTTATTTCTGCAATAAAACTAATCAGGATCCAGATAAAACCCAGATTCAAAATTAAGATGAATAATAAAGTGGCTCAACAGTTCAATGTTGTTTCCATTCTACTGTGAGCCTGCACAGACTCTATCAATGTGTGTGTGTGTGACAGTCAGCGAGTGCTCCACTTCACTTTCCAAAGTTCACCACCTAATGGTTTTATTTGCGATGTCATTTCTATTTACATAGAAATGACATCCCATTAGAGGACATCATGCTCCTTTATGATGTCGGGAAGCACGAGGCTAATGGCGTGAGCTGCTTTGCTCTCATGCTTATTTTAGCAGGTCATTACGAGGAGGGAACTCACCCCCCCGCTCACTGGACCGAAGCTGTGTCCAGATTTATCCGGCTCCTCCAGATACAGAGTGTAGAAGTCTGGCCTGGAGGCATTCAAACACCAAACGAAGAGAGTTAAACACGAACAGTTCACACACGTTCGGACGCAGAGGATCTGAATGAAAGTGGATTCTGTGTCGAGAGGAACAACCTCTGGTCGTCGGGCAGCTGCAGCCACTTCAGCACGGTGAACACTCTGTCTTCAAACGGCACTTTGCTGAAACAACACACACAAAGAGAGAAGTGGCAGCGGTAAACATGTGGAGCTGTGACTTTTCAATTTCTGGTTCTGAGCTGTTTGTTTCCTTTCGTCTCCTGGAGACGGACTTTGTTGTCGCTGATGCTTGTTCTAGTCTTTCTCATCACTTTGGTTTGATTTCGTTCTTTGATGATACGAAACGAGCTGATGATTGACAGCTGACCCCTGATTGGTCAGGGGGGTTTAAATGTGGGTTTATTAAGGAATGCCCCCCCCCGTGAGTGACGTTCTAGTTTAGCCGGTTTCATGCACAGTGCAGTGACCTCCACAGTCTGCAGACCTGGATCCAGTAGGACGTGACGCGGTTGACTGGAAACACAGACGAGCAGCTGTATGAACTAGATAAAGGAGGAACTTCCCTTCAGTTTTCGAGGGAAGTTCTCAAGAAGAACATAAAGTCATTGTTCGGCAGAACCAGTGACGGAGAGCTGGATGATAATGAACCTACTCTTCCTCCACACACAGCCACTAAAGCTCTTATCAGCCGGGATCCTGTTTTATTGCAGCTATCGCCTGGACTGCGCTTCATCCATTATGGTGGGACTGACCCAGTCCATTATCAAACTCAAATATACTTTATTGTCCCATCGGAGACATTTCTATCAGACCAAAGTGCTGCAGCAGCTACACAACACTGTGCAACACACACACACACACACAGAGGGACATATCGCGTGAGAGACAGAATTTTAATGCAGAATAAAAGTATATTTTATATTTTATATTGCACCTGCCCTGTAATCAGAAGATAACCAGTGTAAATATCATTGAGAAACATGACGGAATCAACATACTGTGTATTTTAAAGAGTTTATTTACACTCATCTGAAGCTCTAAGCAGAGATTAAGGCCCTCTAGTCATTTTCTAGTGTATCAGTGTTTAAGTTTGTGTCTCTCTCCAGTAAACGATTGTGACATATTATAAACTAAACTAATATTAGAATGTGAAACCTCCAAACTCCCGCTCTCGCTCCTCGGCAGGTTTTTGACTCACCCGTCGTACGGCCTGTGGATGTTTGGGAAGCTGCCGTTGATTTTAACATCTGATCCAGGCCAGAAAAACGTCCCAGACTTCAGGCCCTGGTACTTTGCTGTGTGCCAAATCTACAACACGCAAACAGAACATACATGTACGTGTTCACTGAAGCGTGGAGCAGAAAACTGCAGGTCTGACAGGACGAGAATTACAGAATTAAGAGAAGAAAGTCTGTGGAGCTCATGCGTGTACTTTTCTTTTTCTTTAAAGTTGCACTGGACGGCTCTGACACGATGACTTTCCACTGAATTATTTGGATGAACCTGGGGTGTTTATCTAAATCTCATATTTACTGCTGTGGGATCCCAGTATGATTGAGCTTCACTGAGTCTGCATGTGAAATTCATCGACTGTGACTCAGCTGCACTTGAAGCCCCTCCAACAGTTGCTCGAAATCAACTTCTTCAGTGAGTTATTCTCCCTGCTCCATATTTTCACCGAGTTTCATGCGTCCACTCATTTTCGTGTGTCATCCCGCTGACTAACAAACGAGGTGCACTCCCACAGGAAAGACTCACAGGTTGTCCCAGGTACCAGGCGGGGTTGTCCTTCTCTGAGTTGGACAGACTGAAGCTGGCGTCAAACACCGGGTCGTACATGCTGTTGTCGATCAAACCATTTGACTCCGGGTAGAGACCCTGAGAGCGGAGGAGAAACGTGACGGTTATCTATTTGCAAAGGTTTCAGAGTAAAGGAAAAAATGTAAAAGCGTCGGTGCTGATTTCTGATGATGTGATAATTATAATGAAATGAGGAAGAGGAGCCGGCACTACTCTGACAGTAGGGATTGACCCTCATTAATCAGTTCCAGTAAAAAAAAATACTTCAGAGGGAGAGTTTCTGAGGAAATCTAGAGAGCTGGAAATGAGTTGGTTTATTTTCCATGACTCCACTCAAACATTCTACCTAAACTAACTTTGAAACCATAGAGAAGTCATTAAGATTCATCCTGTGGGGGAACGGAACACACCTCCTCCGCAAGTGGTGGCTCAACTGGGAATCTAATAAAAAAAAAAGATTTGTGCACACCTGAAACTAAGTTTTGAATCTTTGCATCTTGTTGTAAAAAAGTAAAACCTGCTGACTCACACCTGCACTGCAGCTGGAGTCTGTTGTTTCAGAGCTCAAACATCTGCGAGCTTGGCAGCATCGTGCTGCAGCTCTGCCCTGAAACTCTCAATCGAACGGTCTGAAGAAAAGGTTTGGATCCTGAAGGCAGGAGTGTTTGTTCCTAATTATAACACTTATATATCTATCCTGACATTATATCCACAGTCCTGTAACTCAATCACATGGAATCTATTTACCAGTAATGTCTATATAAATGTGGTGTGTGTGTGGCGCAGGGCGGGTGTTATCTCTTTACCGTAACAATGGTGTAGTGATTAGGAAAAGTCTTGCTGGGAAATGCTGCCTGCATGTACGGGGCGGAGGTTCCACACCGTCCTGAGAACAAACACAAACGGCTGCATGAGCTTCAGAGCTTCAAGAACATTTAACGCAACAAAGGCTTCTTCGTGATGTGCAGCTCAGGACTCTGCATGATTCATTAACACAGTCCTGATTCTACCTGCACTCATGAGGTTTCTGCTCTTACTCCACTGCAGCTGGACTCTGTTTCCTGTGATTCAGAGGCTGCGTCAGAACGCAGAGAGCAGACTCACCTGCTGCTGACATATACAATCTCAGCAAATGGAATCTCTCCTCACAGTTATTTTCGATGAGGTATTTGTTCAAATCCTCTTCAAGTCAGAATGAAAGTGTGTCTGAGGCCCTGAGGTCACAACCTCGACTGGATGAAATGATTTGTCGACGCAGGACAAACACTCACTGAGTTTGTCCAGAACAGGGATGAGAGATCCCCACGTCTGCAGGTATTCAGCCCTCAGTCCGTCCAAAGAGACGAGGAGCAGCGGCTGCTGCTTGAAACTGGAAAACATCACAGAAATACACCGATGAGTTGAAGAGATTATTCATGATATTCATCGTCTTCTATCCCAAATTATTATTATACGTAAAAAATGGGAATTTCGGGGTTGAGTTCATCGTTTCCTCGCACGTTCAAATTCAAATAATCCAACATTAAAGCTCCAGTGTCAGATTCAGGGGAAAGATCTATTGGCAGAAAATAGCTGCAACATGACACTTCACCACTAGATGTCACTAAATTCTACACATTGAACCTTTAAGACGTCTGGTTTGAAAATGAACATCTTGCAAAGTGTCACAAACATTTCACGACGTCTGCAGCTCGATTCTGTTTCTCTTTGAATGACTGAAATCAGCCTCACGAATAAACATCAGGTCTTTTAAAAAGCTGAGATTTGCAGGAGTTGATGAGAACAGAGGCTGCGTGGAATCAAACCAGCGACGCTGCTGCTGCAGAACGTGAATGAAACTAAGATCTCACTGTGCTGGACACGTGGAGGCCGACAGGTCGTCACACTCCTCCTGCACCCAGGGTGTGTCTCCTGCAGCGGGACGACGACAACAACAGTGACAGTGAGTCGACTGTGGAATCAACATCTGGAAATCTGAGTGCGAGTACCGAGAGCTTTTCTCTCTCACCGTGGCAGACATGTTTGTAGTTGGTGCAGCAGTCTCCTGCAGACACACAGTCCTCGGAGCAGTGACAGTTGCTCTGCTTCAGCCTCGTCTCTCCACATCGCAGCCTCGTGCACTCCCACAGCTCGGCTGCAGGAAACAGTCAAGCAGTTAGGGTCGATGAATTCCTGAATGTATGATGATGTGTCGTCGCAGGAGCCAAAAACATTTTCCCCAGAAGAGCCTCTTAAGCTCCATCTGGGATACAGACTCAGCGAGATGTTTGACAGGAGCTCCTCTCACATGGGGCTTTGCAGATGTCGTGGTAGTCACGGCAGCAGCTGCTGCTGGCGATACAGTTCTCATCACATCTGCACCCTGGGATCTCGTCATAGGGCTGATAGCATCGGTTCCTGCAGGATGAATGTGGGACGACTGGAACAGAGACAGTGTGTGTGTCATAACCAGAGGGCTCGACTCTCGGGGGAGGATGAATAACAGATATTTCTTTATCTTTTATTTTAAAGTATTTCAGTTGTATCTGTAAAACATATTAAATATTCATAGAAAGTGGATATTACAGATGTTTACATCGTCTCTGTTTTCACATTAAGAGTTTTTTAAATTACATTTTGAATTAAAATGTTCAATATTAGCTTTGTTCTCAAAAGATTACAAGTGAAACTCTCGATGATAATAATACTTTTTACACCAGTATGAACTTCAACAGTTTGATTGATGGATTTTCTTTGTGCTCACGTGAACTTTGCAGTGACTCAGAGTTTTGTTCAGTTGTGTCTCTCATGTGTCATCATCTCAGTTGTACTGTGAGTTGTTGTGGTTCCACCTCTGCACACAGTCTGTCTAAGTTCAGGTCACGCGACTGTCGCGTGAGATCACGTGAGGTTCCAAGTTTAATTTTACCAACTACTTCACTCAAACAGGATGCAGTAAAGTCCACACGCAGAGCGACGTCACGTTTGTAAAACAGTTACGAGCTGATTAGAAACTGAACTGGAAACAAAATGTTCAGAGTGAAGGAAGAAAAACGGTTTGAGGTTTTATCTCTTGTGCAGAGAAACTTCCTCTGACACTCAGAACTGAAGTAAACACAGAAACATTCAGACTTTCTACTTACATGTGTGTATTAGTAACAAAGCTTTGTATATAAATATATATATACATGTTTATACTTTATATATACATGGAAACACACTGATACATTAACTTTTTACTGTTTTATTATCATTTACTTGCTTTTACAATGTGTGAGTCCGTCGGTGTGTGTTCACATTTTGTCGGTGGTTGAGCTGCAGGTGATTTGTTCCACGGGTAATAAATAAAGTTTGGTTTGACGTTAATGACGTGATAAAATTTAAATGATATGTGAACACATAACTACATCAATGATTATCAAGGTGTAGTTTAATATAGATCAATAAAGTGGTTATGTACAAACCACAGCATTCTAAACTTAAAAAAACTAATAATAATGTGAATCTATGTGAATTCATTTATTTAAGGTGTGACCCAGTGAAACATGGAAAACAACTCTGCCTGTCGTTACATAAGTTTATACTTCTGCTCACATCTTGTTCTTTCCAGCCCTCTCTTAACATCTCGAGGATATTTTTCATTACTAACAGACAGCTCGGGGTGAATCAGAAGTGCATCACATGAGCTCGAACTCATGGTGGAAAAATCAGAACAGTCGTGAGCAGAGTCATCAGCACCAGTTCTGTGATTAACACGGAGGTTTTGTCTGACACATGATCATTGTTAACAGCAGACGAATGTAAACACACGGCGGAATTTAGCGAATTCAATTCTCATGCTGATGCAGGAGTTGATGACCCAGACACAAAGTATGCATCATGCACCGAGAGGTACAAAACGCTGTGAGTAAGTAAATCCTCCTAAGTCTTTAAGTGACTTTATGTTACCACTTTGAATCCTGCAAATTTGGATTCCTCCCAGTCACCGGAGCTGAGACTGTGAGTCACCAGGAATGAGAGGAACAAGAAACAGATGAAGAAACAACAGAGCTTGAGAAAGTGTCAACAAGCAGAGGCATGTGTGTGTGTGTGTGTGTGTGTGTGTGTGCATGTAGCACCTTTGTTTAAACATCTCTGCAGATCCAATCCTAGACCGAGTCCGAGCCCGAGGATCAGAGTCACAACGGAAACAGCCAGGACACCGATCTGTGAAGGCCCATCAGAGATCACCGCGATCATCCAGTGAACCGGTGTGAAACTGGATTCAACACCACATCCGTGCTGCTTTATATTCATACTGACACAAGCTCATGAGACTGTTGATGAGTTTCCACATTGTCTCTTTATGATTATCATCATTATTATGATGTGATGAGGTCACATGAACCACACACACATTCCTGGTATTTCAAATAAATATTTTTTATATTTACATCACAGTGTTTTACATCGGAAGACGAACTGTGCTCCTCGGACAAGTACTGATAAAATAAAGCAGCAATGCATATTATAGTGATGCAAATACACAGTCAGACACAATATCCTCCTTTGAGGAGGTATAAAATATTTAAAAATATAGAAAGAGTCTTCCAGGTGTCAGGGTTTGTCTCAGTCACTGCTGTAGTAATATTAAATATGAATCTGTGCATCAGCCTGAAGAGACGACTACAAACAATGAAACTTGAGGCCTGTGACTAACACGAGTTGTGAACCAGGACCAACTCTTACCACGATCTTCTTCTTTCTCTGCGGATCCTTCAGCGAACCCATGGCTGCTGCAGACGTCAGTCTCTCAGAACAACGAGGGAAACGAGCTGCAGGTATATCCCCGCAGTGACCTCTGGACCGGGGGGGGGGGGGGGGGGGGGCGAACACACGAGTCACTAATTGATAGCCCCTCGTTGCTTGTGTCTGCGTTCTGTCACTTCCTCTGACACCTTCTAACTCATGAGACTCACCGCTTAATGAAAAGCTAACGAGTGGATCGGTGGAGATTTGGAATATTCGTGGAAACAAACTCGCAAAAAGTTGAGATTCCACTCAGAAAGTGAGTTTGTGTTTCGGTAACAGCTGATGACTCGAGCGCTTTTATTGCTTTATTCGACGTGTGTAAAGATAACCTTCAGCACTATTGTAAAACTTAATGAGTAATTAATCACGCTGACGTGAAGTCGGCTGTTGACTCGCACCCTCTTCCAGTATTTGATGGAACAAGAGACTAAAACGCTGACGAGGACTGAATTTACCCACAATTCAAGTTAAATATAAAAAAAAGGTCTTCAGGCAGATCAACGACACCAGTTATAAATGATCAAGTACTATTATACTTGTACTGTTCTGGAATCCTACTATTCATATCTGACAATAATTATAATTACTACTCGTAAATGCTCAGGTCCCAAGGAGGTGGACTAATTCATTTATATAAGTAATAACTATTAATCACATCACTTAAACATTTCATTACTGCGTTCTACTCCCTTGGACCATAATAAATAATCTACTTATAATTTAATTAATTAAACTGAGTGTACATGTGGTACTTCATGGTACTGAAGCTCACATCAAGTATTATTACCCTGCACAGTAATCTACTAAAAACACAGTCGGATCAGTACTTTCATACTATTTCTGATTTCCTATTTAAATTTAAGAAAATTACAATTAGTGAGAAAAGGCCTGTATTTTTTTTTTCCAGGGAGATATTTGGGCAGACATCATGACGAAGTGACAACACTACAAAGAAATACTTCCACTTCCGTTTTTTAAAATTCTCTACGGCTTTTATTTTGAAAGGACAACAGGAACAAACATGGAAGTCTCACTGGTTATTTCCTCTGACCTGCTGATCGACGAGAGAGTGAGTTACGTCAGCTCGAAGGAAACGTGAGGACAGTAAATAGCAGAGGTGACAGAAGAAGCTGCTGTTATCTGTTTGACGTGTTGATGCAGGAAGTGGAACGAGGAGACGAGGCCGACGCAGGGAACCAGTTTGAGGCTTCAGTCATTTCTACTTTGGACCAGATGGAGTTGATCCGTGTCGATGACATGAACGTGCGTGGCTTCATGAATCTCCTCTTCGTGTCCGTCTACACTTTACGTTCTCCACAAATTCTTTGAATCCACCAAACGTCCCCTGGTCGGACAGGAACCGAGCACGAGACCGTAAACACCGTTCATACGCATCATCTGTTTCATGTCTGAGGGACAGACGCACTCACGTCCTCACTGTGAAAGACTGCGACACTAAATGTTCTCATCAGGCCACGACACGACGTCAGTGGTGATGTCATCGCGGTGCTTGATTATACCGCCACACTCGGTGCTGGTGCGTTCACAGTGCTAAGGGTCCGTCAGAATCTGTCGGACTCATCTGTTCCTTCTCAGGAATATTTTGAGTTGAACTGTTTTTGGCACTGTCCGTTTGCTCCATTTATATTACGGGTTAATGACCCACTGGTCTGGACTGTTTGGTATTTTGTTCTCCGTCTCTGTAGCAACGTTTTCAGCCTCACGAGAATCAGAGGGTGAGAGTCAGGGTCGGGTCGGACACTGAACTTCAGTGGAAAAACGGTCTCAGTAAAAATGAAACCGTCGCTGAGGACGATCGGCACAAAGACGGAACCGTTGGTTTCATTTGTCTTTATTATATTTATTCAGATTTAGTTTCCTCTGGATATTTTCTGACCCTGGTGATCACACGCTCTTTTTGGAGAATCCACTTATTTAGTGAATATGACGTGTTTGTTAAATATTAAAGCCAGGAGATGGTTAGCTTAGCTTAGCACAAAGACTTGAAGCAGGGGGAAACCGCTAGCCTGGATTGTAAATAAAGATGGACGACATGGCCCCCCTGGTGGCTGGCTGCAGTGTAGGTCTTAAACCTCCTCCAGGTTAGCAGATGGTGGCGTCCTGTTCCGTGATTTTTGCCTTTATTTCTGAAGAGCGGGACGACATGGAGACGCATCGTCCATCTTTATTTACAGTCTTTGGTCCAAAGGCAATAACGTCCCCCTGCACGAGCAATGTTAATCAAGTGATGCTAAGCTACGCTAAGTGAGCAGGCCTTAACGTACAGCCGTGTCAGTGCGTTCCCCAAAACATTTCTGTTCGTTGACAGAACCACACCAGCAACTTCTCCGTGTTTCATCACGTTCACTACAAATAATACAAACTTGTTGTCGACGCTCATGTTTATTATTTTGTGATTTTCAGTTCTTCTTATTCATACATACATGAGAATCTAATTTCGAGGTTAGTTTGACCTCACAACAGACACACTGGGGTCCATTACAAAACTATAACAAGTTCCACAAGTATACTGAGTTATAAACAACATGAATTACTTTTTAAATTCTACATCAAGGAATATGACGAATAAATCATTTAGTCATGGAGCTAAAGCCCTGGTACGGTCCTTTGTGCACGAGGATGCAGTGCACTGCGCCATCCTTACTTTTGAGTTTATGAGAATATTCCACTGTCCTGCGTCATTCCTGTGCTAGCTTATCCGTTCTCAGAGAGTTCTAAATATTCCTGTTTTAATCTTCAAGCTACTACTTAACAAACAAATTCAAATTTAAAAAACGTGCTCCCCTTTTCCAAGCACTTCCCGGCAGTTCCTCAGGAGTGGAACAACGATGCACTGGACGTTCAGCGAGCATGTGGTGAAACACAGGACTTCTACAAAGGCTAAATCTCTTTTGTGTGTGTGTGTGTGTGTGTGTGTGTGTGTGTGTGTGTGTGTGTGTTGTGTGTGTGTCTAGTCGTCACTCTCAAAGGTGTGCAGGTGGGTTTTCAGGCTCAGGGTGCTGGTGTAGGTGAGGTTGGTGGATCGGTAGAGGTCCAGGCCCGTCAGGATCTCCACATCTCGGACTCGGGCCGTGTGGAGCTTCAGCAGGTCCTCGACCCACTCCGACTCGTCCCCGGCGCTCTGCAGAGACGCGGACAGGAAGTGGTTATTCACGTCGTTATGCTAAATTAAAGTAGGTTTCCATCCACCACCTGTACCACATATCGCCTAAAGGCTCGCAGAAGGAGACTGAGCCAATCCCAGGATCTCGTTAATTATAATAATTATTATAATTATATCTGCATGTGTTTGTGTTGTGGGAGGACGCCAAAGGAAATACACAAAAGTGGACCATTACGAAGAAGATCCAATCTCCCACGAATGAGAAACAGACTTTAGGCTATTTACATGACTAATTCCTGAAAAGAAAAAAAAATGTATTAGTACATTTAGGATCAGAGAATCATGTGAAGGCTCAGCCTCCAACCGACACGCTCCGGTAAACCCGTTTGTAGAAGTTGTTGCCCGGAGCAAAGAGATCAAGATTTGCATATAAACAACGTCGTGTTTCGTCTAGTTCAGATTTCACAGAATAGCAGAATAGTGGTTTTCATAAGAAGTGAGTGAGCTACTGGAGAAAAATCTGCTCATACATGAAGCAACATTTCTTTAGAGCAGCTTGATTTGCTGGACTCCTAACCTAGTTTCAATTGTGACCAATTAGTCTTAAAGGTCCAGTGAGTCAGATTCAGGTGGATCTGTTGGCAGGAATCTAATGTAGAAGAATCCTCATGATGTTTTCACTAGTTCGTTTTATCTATATTGTTGGAATTGTAGTTTTCTTTACCCCAGAAAAGACCCTTAATATTTAAATACTTTATATTTAAATACTTTATATTTACATGGAGGGGACCCTCTCTACGGAGGCCTCCATGTTTTTTACATTAGTCCAGACTGGACAAACTAAACACTTTGAGTTTTTATGACGACTGAAGCTGCCACAGGTTCTTCTTCATGTGTGGAAGGAGAGGGGGAGGGGAGGGGTGTTCAGCTGCAACATGACACTTCACCACTAGATGTCACTAAATTCTACACACTGAACCTTTAAAACACCTCATTAATCGAGTGATTTGACTGAATCACACTTTATCTGGAATAAAAAAAAGGACAACGACATATTAATTGTGACGGATGAACGTATGACTGAAGACGGATCAATGAATGAAAGATGATATAACTCCACAGTTTCACTTTGGATTCATGGAAGTGGTCAGTAGAGAGAAGAGAGAGAAGAGAGCGGCCAGCAGGAGGTTCTTGGTTCAATGTGCCAAAGTGTCTTTGAGCAAGACACTAAAACCCGACGGCCTCCTGATGACTCATCACTGAAGGAAAGAATGAGTCGAGAACAACAAGTGCAGCTCATTATTGTAATTTGAAGAAATGATCCCTCGCCCCAGGGCGGAGCGGGGACGTGTTTGGGTTTAATGAATGATTTCACCTGAATGAGGTGAACGAGCTACGCACATCGATGCCTCATTAACAAATCAGCTCTTAGATCAGATCTATATGATGTACTATAAATGTTCCCAGGGTTGTTGGAGCGGCCTCCAGAGACAGAATAAGGTGTTGTCTGCTGTGGAAACGGCTCTGACCGAAATAAACTCACTGCCCGCCAAGAGGCAGTGTTTACCCTGGCCGGGTATTCACATCATTCATGAGAGGGAAACTAAGTACTCTGGCAAATCCACCATGAGACCAGACGCAAACACAACCACACAAATTCTCCTTTTATGTCAAAACCTTTAACCAAACAACAAAAACGGAGCGGAAAGATTCGCGCTCGTCATGACCTCTTACCAAATACGACCAAAGTAGACAACACCCCGCCCGCTCGAATTGTGTTTAGATGTAAACAAAGACAGATGCCATGGAAACTACCGAATGTGAAACCTTAAACATCCCCCCTGGTGGCTGGCTGCAGCGGAAGTGGTAAACC